AGAACCCTCTCTGCCACTTGGCACTAGCAGGGCCTCACCTGTCACTTGGTCTAGGTAAACTTTTTGCCTCAGCACTAGCTAGCAGGCCAGTTCTCTGGAGGTCTCACCTTCACCTCCTCTTCACCCTACTTATTCAAATCATTATTCTCTTTCAGATGTCACAAAAGCCGATCACCAATCTACCATCAGGCAACATAGCCAGCGCGCCAATCAGGCCTGGGTCTCCGGAGAAATCCCTCACCCCTTTTATCCACAGGTCCCTGAGATACTGGACCATTCAAAAATCCTCAGCAGAGCTCAGAAGCAGGGCAATCCCCTTTCCTGCCACGGCCAGAAAGGCCGAACTATATAGGCTCATGACCACTCAGGCCAACGTTCCCAGGCCAGGCTGTAGTTCACAAATCCTGCCAGCTCACATTTCGTATTCCACATGAGACACCCTGGCTGCTATACTCACCAACCTCCAAATGATCAATCACAGACTAGCGAAACTGGAATCCGCTATAGCCACACCAGGTGCCTTGTTGGACTCAGCAAACCTTCCCCTGACGGTCTCAGCCATACCCACTTCATATGTTTCCCCGGCTCACCTTGTCCCTGACTTCATCAGAAAGGGCATTTCCAAAGGTAATGACGTTAACTCCATGGCCCCACTGCTAACCTCCCAAACTACGGTCACTAGCACGACAGTCACTTCCACGGCTCACCACCCCCCCATCCCACCCCACACACTAGTCAGGGTGTCGGTCGGAGTGACACACTAGACAGTCACATTACATTTCTGGGCAAGGCTCGGGTGTGCAGTGACTTTAACGCCGGGGTATGTAATCTCACGACATGCGGGTCACTGCACAACTGATCCATATGCTTCAGAACCCACACCAAGTCCACTTGCTCAGCCCTTCTGTCATCTAAGAAACACCTGACCGAAGTTAACATTGACATACTGGAATACTATCTTCAGTCACATCCAGCTACGCACCTGGTAGATTATCTGGTGACGGGTTTTTCACAGGGGTTTCACACAGACCTTATTGCCATCCCCACAGGAACACTTGAATGCCCTAACCTTTTATCCGCTTCCACTGTCCCACTCACGGTGGACCACCTTCTGTCTACAGAAATCACAGTCCGCTTTATGATCGGCCCGTTTCTGTCTTTACCTTTCTAAACTTGGCGTACCAATCCCATCGGTATAGCCATTCACAAATACTCCAACAAAAAACTTTTAATTATTGATCCCTCCGCACCTCACTCTTCCTCACTCTTCCTCCACTCTCAGTATTAACTCCCTCATTCGTTCTCACTGCAATACGCTAAAATTGATGATGCCATGGAGGCCATCTTATTAGCTGGTAGTGGAGCTTGGTTGAACAAAACAGATATAACAAACGTCTTCAAACTACTACCTATTCACCCTTCACTATGGCACTTACTCTGTGTTAAATGGAGAAGCAGGTATCTTTTCGCCACCCGGCACACTTTTGGCTCTAGGAGCAGCCCCAGGTTATTCAATATCTTCTCAGAAACCCTCTGCTCGCTGCTCCTAAATATACTCAGGTGTCCCTCTGTCATCCACTACCTAGACGATTTTCTATTGATAGAACCAGGTTCCCTATCCCCTCACTGCATACACTCCACCATAGCGTTTTTCACGACACTGGGGTCCCCTTGTCACCTAGCAAAACACTCGGTCCCTCCACCAAGCTTGTTTTCTTGGGCATAGTACTCGACACCACTACCTTCCAAGTCAGTTTACCACCAGAACATTAAGAACAAGATTGTCCTGTTCCTGCGGAGTGTTGCGTGCACTAGGAGCAGCCTCCAGTCCTTATTGGGGTCCTTCAACTTTGCTATGCGCATCATTCCACAGGGTAGATCTTTTGTCTCCAGGCTTCTCAACTTGCTCCACGGTGTGCCCGACTCATGCCCAATCGTGGACGATCCGGCTAGGGCGGATTTACACAATAAATGCAATAATTTGCAAACGGTGATAGCAGATCCAGAGTTAGTGGGTGATCTTATCAAAATTGAACTGGAACAGGGTTTTGTTTTCGGGCCATTTAGTTCCCCACCTTTCACTTTATGGAGAGCTGATCCTATTGGTGTTGTCACAGGTAAAACTTCACATTCCTCCACGATCCCCAGTCTTAATTACTTCATAACCTCTGACGAATTCTCTCTGCTATATTCCACCATTTACAGTGCCATCTGGGCCGTTTTGGCTGCTGGAACAGGAGCATGGCTTGGTAAAACTGATATTGTAAATGCTTTCAAATTACTTCCCATTTACTCTTCACTTTGGCATCTGCACAGCATTAAGTGGCAAAGTTTATATTATTTCTTCTCCCGGCTTACTTTCGGCTCTAAGAGCAGACCCAAAATATTTGATATTTTCGCTGAGACCTTGTGTTCGTTGCTACTACATGTGTGCAGATGTCCGACTGTAATTCACTATTTAAATGACTTACTCATGATTGAAGACAACTCACTACCCCCTAGCAGCCTCAAACACATGATTGCTCTTTTTGAATCCCTGGGTACACCAGTCTCCCCTAAAAAAAAAACGTAAGGTCCTGACACGGTCATACATTTTCTGGGGATATTACTGGACTCAGTTGACATGCAGGCCAGTCTTCCCCAGGATACGATTGAGCGCTCCCTATCATTCATTGTAACCAGAAAGAACTTCAATCTCTGCTTGGGTCGCTCAATTTTGCCACAATGATCATTCCCCAGGGTAGATCATTCATTTCCTGACTACTTTCTTTGTTCCTGAACCTCAGATGAATCACGTTAGACACACATGCAACGGCTTACTTATGTGGTGCACATCATGAAACGGCTAGCCATGTTCATCCTCCCAATTTCTGACAATTCTCCTACACTCTGGACAGATGCTGCAGCCTATATTGGCTTCACAGTAATCTGTGGCTACAACTGACTTTGGGGGTCAATTGCCTAGAGAAGTAAAGTCCCTACCTAGCTTCTCCACTACATCGACCTTGTTTGAATTATACCCAATCGTGGCCACTGTTATTGCCTGGGGGCCAGACAGGGCTTGTCCCCAGTCAGATGTTTTTTCTGAAAACCTAGTCACTTGCCACATTGTAAATAAAGGCTGGTCTTCCTCTTTGGTAATTATGAGGTTTTTGAGGAAATTCACATGGGTAGCGACCACTTGCCAATCTTTCATCACCTGTATTCATGTTCCGGGTGTCACAAATATATCAGCTTATCACTTGTCTCGTTTTTACTTTCAGACTTTCCTCCAGAATCTGACCACCACTTTCTGTCTGGCTAACCCTACCATGATAGGGCTTTTCACATTTTCACCAAATTTCAGTTCAGGACATGTTTGTTTTGGAGACTATATTGGAGATCACTTTTTTTTGCCACCTTATCTTAAAATTATCTTTCAACACAGTCAAACTTTATCTAACGGGCATTCAACACCACATGCTATTACAACATGCTAATAAAACAGGATTCCTTTCATCATACCAGATAAAAACTTTGCTGAAGGGAATCCAAAATCAGACACACATCTATTCCCTAAAAGACTACCCATCCACAATAAAATATTCCAATCATTATCCGATTTGTTAGAGACTGCTCCATTCGAACATATAACCAATATGGTAATTAAAACAGTCATATATCTAGCTTTTTATGGATTCTTACATCCAAGGGAATTCACCACCAGTAATGTAATGGCCACAGACTACATTAAAATAATAGATATCGGGGCGGAGCCAACGCTGAGCAGCATGGATGCATGAGAGCAGAGTTCTGTTCTGGCAGATCGATAAACCTGATTTTACACGGTGCAAACTACCCAGTCAAGTGGCCCACCTGCATCCCAATATGTCCCACCACAAGAGCAAATAGCAGGGAGACAAATCCTCCTTTTTTACAGCCCGGACGCAGGCTAAATTACAGCCCTCACAAGAGGGCCTTCAAGATGGCGATTATGATTCCGGCGATAGCCGTGACTCCAGTCCAGAGACGGGAAAGCAACTGGTCAGTTAACCCCTGCATTCCTGCAAAAAATGCTGGACTCACAATCTGCCAAACTGATTGCAAGCCTCAATCAAAGAGATACAGAGAGTTATCCAGAATCCAAGAATCCAGAATCCAAGATGGACGAATACAGTGGTGCACAACTCAGTGTCAGATGCGCTGCAACATATAGAAGTCAGACTGGACAAACATGAAGCCAAACTTACAGACCTGGAGGACTGCTCCTGCAGAAACAACCTGTGGTTGAGAGGGATACCAGAGGCTACCTCTATAGGTGAGCTACCTGCATATGCTTCAGGCCATGTGCCCTGACATCCCCACACATATGTTCCTACTAGACAGGATACACCAAGTGGCAAAAGCTAAGACGGCTCCAGCATCCACACCCTGAGATGTAATAGTAAGAGCTCACTACCATCACATTAAGGAGGAAATCCTGAAAGGGAGAAGAACAGTTAAGACCCTACCGGGAGACTACTCTTCCATATAGATCTTTGCGTGGGTTCCCCACAATGGTCAAACCACCCCATCTCTAACATGGAAGAAGGGCGGGAAATGCTCCGGAAGTGGGACATCCCGTGCAAAGAACCCACCTCAAGCACGACCACGCTGTGACCACTTGCACCTGAATGGAAAAGATTAAAGAAATAATGTGGGGTACTGCCAGTTTTCATAAGGAGACCATCGCACTCATCTCTATTTGACAATCGCTCAGGGACTTGACACAAGTTAACGCTGGAGCGTTCTATGGTTTATTTATGGCGCTGATGGAGTGCAATTTTTCTGGGCTCTTGTGAGCCACAACCTGAAGCTTATTTACGGCCCACTAAGAGGAGGCTCATTTGAAACATGCCCATACTGCCTAGTGCTGTGTCTAAAACTGATGCAACTTATAGAGGTGTCATATCACACTTTCATGGCAAGGGAGCAACTGCCTATCGGGAGATATTCACTACAACATACCTGGGCCCAAGGATGGACAACTCAGCTCAAGTTAATTTGCATTTATGGCACTGTGGTAGTGCAAATACAGTAGTGAAGTGCTCCAGATGGTACTCAAGATCCCAAATCAGTGGGCATGCTGACGACAGACTGTCAGGTTCTCTCCGACTGGGCATGTGTTATAATAAGTGATGTCTAATTGTCTAGGCTTTCCAGGGCTAGGGAAAGGGCCCTAAGGGGCAATGTTTCTTAAGTTACATCTATATTTTTCTTATGTTATATGAGGTTTATGCAATAGTTATCATTGAAACTTCTGCACTGGGTGAAAATGATGCAATGTTAATTGCAGTGTTGGATCCACTTGCGTGGGGTGAAGTCTTGTGGTAGAGATGGCTGGTAGATGCACTGCACACACCCCCAGGGGCACTGGGTGGCTTCAATCGGCACAACCAAATCCCAAACAGGATCACCGGAGGGCGACTAACACTGACTATACAAGGGCTAGTCCTCTTAGGTACTTCTTTACTTTGTTTTCTTTCCTTTTCTTACTTGTCTAACTATTTCTCAGGCAGGAGGGGGGAGGGAATACCCTTCAGGCTGGGGGTTACTTTGGGGTGGCCCCCTTGGGGACGATACATCATACCTACAAAATTGCATGTGGATAGTATCCCATAATGTCAAGGGGCTGAATGCCCCATTTAAGCGTCACACGCTATATTGAGAACTCAAGACGCTTCAAGGGGACATTGTGTGTCTCCAAGAGACCCACTTTAGGAAACTGGATCTGTGTTGGTTTCAGGTCAAACAATTCCCCTATCGATACCACACCACTTCAAAGTCTAAAGCAAAGTGTGTGTCTATCATGATCAGTAACCAATTGGCTTTTTTACTCATAAAAAAAGTGACAGACCCCAAGGGCAGATACCTTGTCATAGTAGCTGACATTAATGATACTACATACACGATAGCGAGCATATACATGCCAAATGAACATCAACAGGGACTCTTAAAGACAGTGTTTGCTAAAATTGATCAGATCCACCAGGGTGTCCTGATTTTGTGTGGAGACTTTAACAGCACTCTAGAACCACACTTAGACATGTCATCGACACGGACTGTCACCAGGGCTAGGAGCTTGACGAACAGGGCTAAAAAGATGAATAAATTTTTTCACTTACAATCTATATGACACGTGGAGGGCATTGCATCCCGATGATAGGGAATACACATTTTTCTCTTATGTCCACAACTGCTACACAAGGATTGAGGTGCTATGTCCAAGGCCCCTACTTGCTCCAGATTGAGGAATGCACCACAGGGATTATAGACTGGTCTGACCACGCACCGGTGGCACTGACAATCTCTGACAGCTTTTCCTTTAAAGGCAAACCACCATGGCGCCTCAATGAATCTCTACTTCAAAATCCCAACAATGTCAATACCATGAAAGAACACCTGATGCTATATTTATCTACCAATGACGAACCTGAAGTTTCCAGGGAATCGATATGGCAGGCACATAAGGTGGTGGCAAGGGGATTATTTATTAAACAAGCCTCCTAAATTAAGAAATGTGCCCTGAGCCTGATGGTGGACTGGACCGTACAGCTGAGGGTGTTGCATAATGCCAATCAGCTGAATCCTACTCCCCAACATAGAACAGACTTCCAAAACTTACAAAGGAAAATTTCACAGGCCAATTTAAAACACACAAGCTTTTGCCTGAAGAAATTGAAAATGTCCCAGTACTCTCAGGGGAACAGGGCGGGTAAAATTCTGGTGACCAAACTAAAAGAACAGGGCTCACAAGTAGAGTTGAGCGGACACCTGAATGTTCAGGTGCGGCGGGCTTGACCGAACTTTGAAAGAAAGTCCGGGTGCGTGATCGAACTTGACCCCGAACCCGAACCCCATTGAAGTCAAAAGAAGACCCGAACTTTTGGACACAAAAATACCTCTAAAAAAGTCTTGGGAAGGGCTAGAGGGCTACAAAAGGAAGTAAAATGGGGGTATGAGTAGGACAAGTGCCCTGCAAGCAAATGTGGATAGGGAAATCACTTAAAATAACAAAAAAAAAAAATACAGCTGAGCCATAAAATACCACTAGATGGAATCTTTGATTTTAGCATCGGAAGAACATAAATCAAAATCTAAAGCATGGCTGTTAGAATTATCCATTTGAGAGAGGGTTGGAGTGCAAGGTATTCTCTTTCATTGTTCAATCTGAGCTCAACTCCTGATGCATGGAGAAAAGGCCTTCACAAGCCTCTGCTATTGTGTACATAGTTTATACTAAGTGACCCATAGGTTGAGGAGGCGGTGTAGGTGGAAGCGGCGCTGGAGGAGGAGGAGGTAGCCAACATTGTTTTTTATTTGTTTGCTTTTTTTTTTTTAAATTGGGGTAGCCCCCAAAATATTGGGACATATAAAAAGAAAACTCGACCTGTGCGTGCTGCAGCGAAACTCCACTATCGCCTGCTGCTTCTCGCACAGTCTCTCCAGCATGTGCAAGGTGGAGTTCCACCTTTTGGGCACGTCGCACATGAGGAGGTGAGCGGGAATGCCAATGTTACGCTGCAGCACAGACAGGCGAGCAGAAGCAGGGTTAGAACGCTGAAAGCGCGCACAGACGGCCCACACTTTCTGCAGCAGCTCTGATATATCTGGGTATACACCGTGACGGTGTAGGTGGAAGCAGGGGTGGAGGAGGAGGTAGCCAACACTGTTTTTTATTTGTTTTGTTTTTTTATTGGAGTAGCCCCCAAAATATTGGGAGATATAAAAAAAGAAAATACAGCTGAGCCATAAAATACCACTAGATGGAATCTTTGATTTTAGCATCGGAAGAACATAAATCAAAATCTAAAGCATGGCTGTTAGAATTATCCATTTGAGAGAGGGTTGGAGTGCAAGGTATTCTCTTTCATTGTTCAATCTGAGCTCAACTCCTGATGCATGGAGAAAAGGCCTTCACAAGCCTCTGCTATTGTGTACATAGTTTATACTAAGTGACCCATAGGTTGAGGAGGCGGTGTAGGTGGAAGCGGCTGTGGAGGAGGAGGAGGTAGCCAACATTGTTTTTTATTTGTTTGCTTTTTTTTTTTTAAATTGGGGTAGCCCCCAAAATATTGGGACATATAAAAAGAAAACTCGACCTGTGCGTGCTGCAGCGAAACTCCACTATCGCCTGCTGCTTCTCGCACAGTCTCTCCAGCATGTGCAAGGTGGAGTTCCACCTTTTGGGCATGTCGCACATGAGGAGGTGAGCGGGAATGCCAATGTTACGCTGCAGCACAGACAGGCGAGCAGAAGCAGGGTTAGAACGCTGAAAGCGCGCACAGACGGCCCACACTTTCTGCAGCAGCTCTGGGTATACACCGTGACGGTGTAGGTGGAAGCAGGGGTGGAGGAGGAGTTTTTTTATTGGAGTAGCCCCCAAAATATTGGGACATATAAAAAAAGAAAACAAAGAATAAGTGCACTTGAGTATAACAATGGCTGGGTGAGGCCAGTATAAATGTCTATTCTGCACAAGGTACAGACAAGTCTGATGGGATCCATGCCTGGTTCATTTTGAAAAACGTGAGCTTGTCCACGTTGGCTGTGGACAGGTGTCTGTGCTTATCTCTGATAACGCCCCCTGCCGTACTAAACACACGTTCAGACAATACACTGGCTGCAGGGCAGGCCAGCACCTCCAAGGCATAAAGGGCAAGCTCAGGCCATGTGCCCAATTTGGAGACCCAGAAGTTGAATGGGGCAAACCCATCAGTCAGTACGTGTAGGCGTGTGCACACGTACTGTTCCACCATGTTGCTGAAATGCTGCCTCCTGCTAAGACGTTCCATATCAGATGGTGGTGCTGGTTGTTGTGGCGTGCTGACAAAGCTTTTGCACATTTTGGCCATGCAAACCCTGCCTTCTGAGGTGCTGGCATGCCCCAGCTGTGCTGGCGACCAATTCCTCCTCCTCTGCCTTTGCCTTGTGCTTCCACTGAGCCCCTGGTTTCAGTTGGGAATGCCCTCAGCAGCGCGTCATCCAGTGTGCGCTTGTAGTTGCGCATCTACCGATCAAGCTCCAGTGAGGGAATTAAGGACGGCACGTTGTAAATGTAACGGGGATCCAGAAGGGTGGCCACCCAGTAATCAGCACAAGTTAGAATATGGGTAACTCGACAGTCGTTGCGCAGGCACTGCAGCATGTAGTCGCTCATGTCTGCCAAGCTGCCCAGAGGTAAGGAAAAGCTGTCCTCAGTGGGAGGTGTATCGTCTGTGTCCTCTGTATACCCCCAACCATGCTTCAGTGATGCCCACAAGCTGTGTTGGGTGCTACCCTGCTGTGAACACGGTTCCTCATCCTCATCCTCATCATCCTCCTCCTCGTCCTCCAGAACTGTGCCCTGGCTGGACAATTGTGTACCTGGCCTATGCTGGTGCAGGAACCCACCCTCCAAGCCACTTGTGAATGACGGCCTGATAACCATAAAAATTACCCCTCTTCCTCCTCCTCTTCCATCATCTCTGATGATGACGAAACACAGGTGTCAACTGCTGTGGCTTCCGGCAGTGTGCAGACCGGCAAGGAGGGCAGAGGTGAGGAGTGGATGGAAGATAAAGTGGAGGATGATGAGGTCCTAGACCGCACATGGAATCAAGGTCATGCGAGTGACGTGTCCATTTTGGAGGAAGAGGTGGTGGTCGCACAGAGGCGCCAGCACAGCACAAGAGGGAGCAGGGTGCAAAAGCGGAGCGACCATCCCCACATCCTCTTCCATCATTGCCCGAAGCATTTTTTCAAGGAGACATAGAAGCGGGATAGTAAGGCTGAGAACGGCGTCATCTGCACTGGCCATGTTGGTGGAGTACTCGAAACAGTGCAAAATGGCACACAGGTCTCACATGGAGGCTCACAAATTGGTGGTGAAGTGGTGCTGTTCCGCAGAGCGACTGACCCGTGCGTGCTGCATCTGAAACTCCACTATTGCCTGCTGCTGCTGGCACAGTCTCTCCAGCATGTGCAAGGTGGATTTCCACCTTGTGGGCACGTCGCATATGAGGCGGTGAGCGGGATGGCCAACATTACGCTGCAGCACAGACAGGCAAGTAGCAGCAGGGTGAGAACTCCGAAAGCGCGCACGCACAGCCCGCACTTTCTGCAGCATCTCTGATATATCTGGGTAGTTTTACAGGAAATTCTGCACCACCAATTTCAGCACATGAGTCAGGAAAGGGATGTGCGGCA